CTGTAGGGGAAAAAAACACAAGCAAAATTGCAATTCACTATGAAGAACCTGAAGAGAAGCAAGATTTCTCAGATAATGCTGCCTGTCTTTTAACAGCATCCATAGAACTGACAAGAGTAGCAATTTCAGCATTCTTTGCCGCCAAGGCCTCAGACATATTTGACTCTACTCTGGATACTTCCCTTTTACATTCAGACAAATCTTTTGTAGCTCTTTCATTCGAGCTTCATAAGATTTACTCAACTCTCTCTGTAAAGTTAGCATTATTTAATATTGCAACAATTAATTATTTTTCTATTGGAGAAACATGATAACACCTAGTCCTTTAAACATGGAATAGTAATGCAGCTTCACCTCTGCACTAAGAAGTTCCTCCAGCTGTGCATTTTCAGCTTTGTATTCTTGAAGTCGGGATGATAATCCAGCACAGACCTGAACAACAATAAGAAAACATCAACTAGATGTCTAACCAGCAATTAGGAAGAAATTATTGCTAAGATCCCAGAACCAATCTGCAGGATATGCCACTGTAATCAGGCCTCTCCCATTTAGGGAGGCCTTGGATGACAGAAATGTTTGTTGACAGCATTCTTACCCGAGCTAACCTTGCCTCTTTAGATTGACCAGTAGATTTTGCTGTTTTAAGCAGTCCTTGAGCCTGTGAACCAGCTAAAAAACTAATCAGAAGTAATTCAATAGAGGATAAGTATTTGAAGAAACAAATTATAAACTTCTCTCTTATGATAAATATGACACCTCATCAAGTTGATCTTGTACTTTCTTTGAGTTATCGGTTTCAGTTTTATGATCCTCTTGGCTCTTTCCATTGTCAATAGATTGAACTATTAAATCAGTATCTTTACAAAGAACATCACCATTAGAAGCAGTGTCAGAGGTCAGAGATTCAGATCTCTCTTGACCCTTTTTTAAATCAGCATCCATATTTCCAGGGTCCATAATTAAGCCAGTATCAGTTGATTGATTTTCATTGGGGCTTTCAATCCCTTTGTTAGATGGAGAGGAATGTCCATCATGGATATCTGAAGCATTCTCTTTGGGAAGCTGGACGTCTGTAGAAATGGTTTCAGAAAGAGTGGAAGGTCCAGCATTATTATCATCTACTAAGACCTCCACATTGTCCATTTCATGCTTATTCACATCATTAGTTATCACTTCTGTTGATGAAGTGCCTGACAAGGGTGGCATTTTGTCAGTTGCTGGCTGCTCCTTTTTAGCTTGGCTTGTAGACATAGAAGCACCGTCATTCTCAGCTACAAGATTAAGATCAACTTTTTCACTCACAGTAGCAACATCTACTGGTTCTGCAGGTGTGCCAACTTGCTCTTTTGTAATATCATTAATAACAGGAGACAAGATCGATGATCCCTTTTGAACCTTTGTGGAATCAAACTTATTACTTGGAGAAGTTACATCTACTGACTCTTCTGATACGCCACCTTGCTCCTTTGTGGTGTCACTAATTACAGGAGATGGAACAGCTTGTCCCTTTTGAGCCTGCAGAATAGTTTATGATGTGATCAAGGTTCATGTTATAAGAACGTTGCTTAAGGATAAACTTCAGAGGCAATACCTTAGATTTTGATTTTGTCCTTTGCCTTGAGATCCTTGCCCACTAGAAGCTAATTGTCAGAAAGGTTAAAGAAAATATTAGCACTCGTGCTTGAAAAATTTGTTGGACTGCATACTTTATAGCTGGAATTGTAAAATATGGAATTATTCTGGAAAAGGGAGCTTTTTATTGTTATTTTCTCTCTTAGAGAACAGTTATACTTCAATATGCTTCTCACCACATCTATCCAGTAAATTTTAATAATGGTGAATCAAAATGACAGCAAAACTGCCATTGTTAACCATCAGATGCGTGAAATATATTCTTTCTAGTAAATAAACGACACATAATTATAGCAATTAACCCAGGATTAAGTTCAGGTTAAGCAGTCACTATTCAAACATCAGTGCCTGAATTGATTGTGATAGACAAGAAACCATAAGCCAAACAAACTAGAATCTAAACCTGGAGACTTAGAATCTGATTGCTCATCTGCATATTCGCTGACAACTAGCTTGGCCCTTCGATCTACAACTTCGAATAAATCTGTTCAAATAGATAGAAAAGGAATATGTCATAAGTTAGAATTTGCTTCTATATGAGCAGCATACACAGACCCAAAAATGGGGGCGGAAGAGAGAAACTTCCTATTTAATGCTGCAGTAGATGATACAACCCAACTCAAAGGAGGGGGGAAACTACAAAAAGTAAATGACCCCAAATGACAATGCTTCTTCCAAGGAAAAAATACAGGAGGCAAGAGACCAATTAAACTTAGTACAATTTCTCCTGAGTGATTAAAAAAATGTGACCCCTTAAAGAATTTAAAAGTGAAAATGTGCTCCACTCGAAATTGCTGAAGATTTACTGGCAATGCAGTTAATCTGAAAGCGGTAATCCTTTTCTGTCGGGCAGCCTTAACAGCATTCATAAGTTTGGGCAAAGTGTTATGGTTCTTTGCCAAAAAATTAAACATACTTTGCATTCTCCTCTGAAGCATACATCTTTATCTAGTCAACAACACCCACAAATCAGCAAGGAGCTGGGATGTGAAGTTCATGATCATAGTTGAAACCGATATTAAACATCCAAAACAATCCGGTAGAACTTGACTAAATGCTTTTAACATCGGATCAAAGCATCTAAAGACAGTAAGCCGAAAACTGACATCACCATAACTCACAAAATTTGCAAGGGAAACCAGATCAATCTCGAAACCTGTAGAATGCTAAAAGGCAAGCAAGTCGAACCAGTGACACACTAATAGCACTGGAAGCTCAAAGTCCATATGAACCAAATAGAAACAGTCAAATTAGGGAGAATTCGGAATGTAGATGACAGGAGCAGGGAGATCGATGGATACCTTCAGCGGCCTTAAGCCAGGAAGCCATCTGAGATTAAAGTCGATTGGGATCTGAAAGGGTTTTGGGGTGCTTCCTTAGAGATCGAGGAATGGAGCCCCCATGAAGAAGCGGGGGGGAGAGGACGACGTCGCTTAGATTGAGAGAGCTGGAACAGGGAGCTGAAAAATGCAGTGCTATTTGACGAGCAGGGAGAATCGCGCGAGAAATAAAACCGGTTCTTTTGGGAAGGATTCAAGCAGCGAATCACAGCTTTACGCAATCCAACGGACGGGATGGTTAGTTATGTTATGAAGAGTTGGGTTTTGGGCAAGCAATTCAGACTCACGTAAAATTGAAGAAACAATGGGGCTTCTTCCGTTCCCACGTCCACATTCTTGTTTACGCAATTGTTAGTTATGTCGGAACTTAATTGCCATGATAGCATCCTAGCTAGGCAGAACTTTTTTTTTTTTTTTTGGGAGATGAAAGAACTTAATTTCAATTTGATAACAAAAGAGAGAGAAATTGTAAATTGTTAGTTGTGAGTACAGAAATACAACATGTCGATTTTCTTTCCAAAGATCAATTAAATTTTGTGGAAAACACAAATATTTTCATTAAGGAAAATTAATGTGTTTAAGTAATGTATACAAGAAAATCCTCTCTACATATTTTTTAATCCCTTAATCGTTGGTTTTGTTTAATCATAGATACAAATATTTCTGTCTGCTGGCAGTTACTGCCCCGGAAAAGCTCATCAATTAATTGCTATTTATGGGCTTTCAACGTTTTCATATGCCATTAGTCATTGTCAGAACATATGACAAAGATTGGGCTGGACAAGGCCCCCAATCATGCAGATTAGCTAGTTGACCCAACAACATGAGTCACTGGATGGAAAGGGAAAGGTGCCTGTTCCGTTGGTTTTTTTTTTAGAATTTTCTTGAAAGGCCCCATTTATGGGCCTTATGTCAAAAAATATATATTATAGTTGAATGGGCTTAGGCTGGGAAATTTTCTTTTAAGAATCTAGCCTGCGCCAAAAAAATAAATCCTGAAGGTGTGTATAGAAAAGTATTGTTTGGAAGAAGAGAACATTTTAGATGATACTCAATTCTTTAAGAAATTAGTCTCATGATTGCCGACTGTGGAAATTCATTGGATAAAAAAAAAAACAAAAAACTAACTAAGTGAGCCCATAATAGTCTTGCCTTTTTTTTTTTTTGTGGACAAAATAGGTTTGCTTGTATATGTGAACTAAATGAGCTTAGTTGTAGCCTTGCATGTGGTTGCTCACAGCCTCACTTTGCTCATAACCTATAAATTTTAGGATTAAGGCTTTAAAATACCTCTCAACTAAACAAAAAAGATTAAGGCTATCCATAAAGTTAATAAAGGGTTATTTATTTCCCCCAATCCCTAAAATTTTTAATTTCATCACCGTACCATTTATTCCATCAAATTTTGCCATTGATGGGCTTCACATTTGAATTTTTTAATATGTTTAACAAGTCCCACCATTTTTTATAAGGTTAAGGGTTTAAAATACCCCTCAATTAAATGAAGAGGATCAAGGCCATCCCTAAAGTTAAAAAATGATCATTTAAATATCTCAATTACTAAGATTATCGATTCCATTACCATGTTATCTATTCTATCAAAATTTACTATTCATGGAGTCCACATTTAATTTTTAAATATTTTTATTGGATTTCACCATTTTTTTATATTTTTATTAGTATGTCTCCTCAAGTCACACTTTCAAGCAAGTATCTGTTCAAGCTTGTAAAAATTTAAACTTTACGCCATGACTTTCTAATGGCTCCAAGCTTGATTTTTCTTTTGTAACTCCTAACATTGTCCTAAAATCTGCCATTACTAAATGGTGCCAAAACTTCGTCTGTAATATTCTAAAAAAAATAAACCCTAGTAATCAACCTAATAAAGGATAATTAAGTAAAATTTATGTGGTATGTGATTAGAGGAAACTAATGGGTGCCTTTGGTTGGGATTCCAGGCATAAATTTGGGACTAAAGTGAAATTGAATCATTTGGGCATTAAAAATGGAGAAAAACAAGGAAGAAAGTCTTTATGCCATATATTATAGTGTGTGCAGTGTGTACCACACACATGGAGCCAACAAACAAGATCTTGCCTCCTCTATAGGTGTATGGCCTATTTTCTATAGAAATAGATCATGTTTTGAGGCAAAAAAACAAAAGAGAAAGAGAGAAAAAAAATGAAGAGCTTGATACTTGCTTTGCTAAGGCTTGAGGAGTTGAAGCTTAGGGAGCATTTTGAGCCTTAAAACATCAAAGGCAAGTCCCACAAGCTCCTTTCTTCCTTTCCCTTCATTTTTAAAGAACTTTTGAGTTAGGGTTTGTTAATGAAAATTGATTTTCAACCCATATAAGTTATAAGTCTAAACTCATTGACTCAAATAAAATTAATGAAAGTTATTTGAGGCATTTAAACTTAAAAATAATGGGTTTACATGTTTTGGTTATGGGTGCATTGATGGTTGAAAATACCATTTATTATGGTTGTTAACTTGGCTAAGGAGCTATTAATGATTATATAAGAGTTTAATGAAGCTCTGGGGAGTTCAAGGCAATTAATGAACTCAATGGTTAAGCTTGAAATGCTAGATGTGAGGATTTTTTATTATTTTGGATATTGAAATAAACGTGAAATGGAGTGTATGTGGTAATGTTGATGAATTTAGACTTGATTAATTATAAATTAATCATCCTTACACCATATTGGGCTTGAAGAGAAAGCTTAGAAGCAAGTTATCAAGGGGTAACTATTTGACCTCTCAAAACTTTAAGGTAACCAAGCTAAACTTATTGTGTATAGTTATTTGTTTATTGATTTATGTTTTTGAAAATGTTTAAATTGACTTAAATGGTTGAATGTTATAGTTGCTGCTATGCCAAAAATCCAATGAAGCTTTACTAAACCTAATGTGGCTATAATAATGAATTTGAACTTGAAAAGTTCCACATTGTGTTTGCATTAAAACGAAAAGTTAGTGAGTTGATGTGAGGATATTGTGATGTGAAAAATACAAACTTATAAGTTGACCTGATAAATGTATGATGTGGAGATTATGCATGTGATTTTTTTTTTTGGAAAAAGAATAATTATGAAAATATTACAAAAGCTCACATAGGTTAGATCGTACTTGTAACCTAACAAGTCATTTATTTGCGAAATAAGTGAGTTTCATGCATTGCATAATCCTTTGGTAGGAGTTCGCCTAAAAAGAGAAGTAGATTAAATCCATATTATACTTATGGTAGCCTTTCGATGTATGAAGGCTAGCTTTGTCTCACTATTTTTCAAGGAATTGTTTCATAGTTTGTCGAGAGACTATAACTTAACCATCTCCATATGTTTGTTGAGGAGATTAGTTTAGGTTATACAATACCCCAGATATTCGAGAATGAAAGAAGCTGTGGCCCGAAAGTAAGTAATGTGATTTTTGATCGAGTCACACCTCATAATCAATGAGCTTGGGTAGTCTAGTCGTGCAAACGAAGCCTTAATTGATATTATATCTCATGGTTTTATTTAGAAAAAATAATGAGGGTATAAAGAGCAATTGATCATGCATATGTTTATCCGATGCGTCACTAGTTGCTAAGTTTGTGGCGTGTTGTAATAGTGAATTGTGCCATTATCACATGGTTGTATGTATTACGACAATGTGCATCATGATTGTTAATCGAGCCATTATCACATAGTTGTCTATATTATGGCAACGTGTCTCATAATGTGATTATGTGGAAAAAATTTGATCAAAAGTTAATGGTATATTGTAATATATATGTATGTTATGTGCGATTTTATAAAATTAAATATTTTACTCCTCTTTATGTGTTTTTATCGATTGATAAATAATTGCATAGAGTAAACGTACCTTGGTTATTAAGTGGTTGAACTCACTGCTCTTTTTCAATATTTTATAGAAGCTAGCTCCGGTGTAAAAAGAGAGAAGACTCAAGAGGCTTAGGATTTTGAGTATTCCTATTGTAAAGCCTTTTATCTTAATTTATTTTGTGTAATAATTAGAGTATTGTCAATTAGGATTTTTTTTTAATATACTTGCACCATGTTATTGTTTATAATTTTGGGATATATTTTGGGCCCTAGAATGTTGTTTATAAGATTATTAAGTGTTGATAGGGTCAAAATACTAATACAAATATAGGAACTATTGTCATATTATTGGAATTGAAAATGATTGATTTATGCAATACTAAAACTTTTTTCTTCTTTTTTAGTATTAATAGGGGCTTGGGAGTGAAAATTGAGAATTGTTGAGTTTATATGTGTATGGTGTGTTGTACAGATAAGCGTAAGTCTATTGAGTATGTTCTAAGCGATAGATGTAACTTTGGCACATGTATGAGGTTTTAAATACCCTTGAGCTGTGAAAAGTGTATAAAATTGTAAAAAAAGTGTTGGGTATTCAACTTTTTTATGTGATATAATTTAAAAATAAAAACCCATGCTATCAACTAGTTTATAAAAAGGGCTTTATATAAACACTTAGATTGCCTCAATCAAACGTTAGACGGGAAAATAGGGCATGTTAGAGAAGTTGCTTTGGGTTGCTATCATTTGACAACAAAATGATGTATGATACGTGCAACACGCCGTTATGCATGTGCACAAGTGCGGTGCACCTCTCTATTTTTCATTCCTTGATACTTTTCAATTGTTTTGAGTCCCTTTGACTCCTAAAAGGTATAACATGTTTCCAAAATAATATTTTACTCTGACTAAATATTATTAAATGATGTTTAAGCAAGTTGAATTTTAAAAAACTTGAGATCTTATTCTTACAAATTACCAACTTGGTAATCTAATTAGATTAGTTCAATGGTTACCTTGATTTTTTGTATTAATTGTGATTAAGCAAAGGCAATATTACATAGCCAACCATTATAGAAACATACTTTTGATGCACTCTTCAGCCTAGCCATTTAGAAAATAATAAGATTGCAATCAGCGTGCTAGGTGCTTTGCCATCACTACT